TTTGGAATGTCTGATTTCGGGGAGAGGACCCAGGAGTTATTTTACAAAGGCTCATGAAATCTTGAATAGGTCAATGGAGTGGATAGAGGGATTTCCCACACGCATGCACGCACAGGCACTGCTATCTAAGAATTCTAGCACTGAGTGTCATCTAGAGAAACAAAATGGCATTTCAGTGAGTACAGGCAAAAAATACTGCCCCCCCCGCCTTCCAACGCATTACTACATTACGGAACTCCCTGCCACTGGATGCAGTGGAATTAAAATAGACCTGGTTTTGGCACATTTGTGAAGGGTAAATCTATTAGCCACCCATAGTTACTTTTGGATCAAGTGTACTAGCTATCACAAGGACAGTATAGTCACAATACCATTTGCTGGGAGGAAGGGAGAAGATGGGGTACTAAAGGCAGGAGGGCAGTGGCCCAGTTTATATGGGCTTTCTGAAAGCATTTAGCTGGCCTTTGTAGAAAAGAAGTGTGTTTGGAGTAGATTCTAGGATTTTTGGTCGGTGGGTCTTTCTTTCTTTCTTTCTTTCTTTCTTTCTTTTTCTTTTTCTTTCCACTCTGTTGTAGATTTATACCCACGAATCAAACCAGAGTCTCCTTGAAGTCCCATAGATTTAAGAACAGAACATTCATAGATCCGAGCAGTATCACTCAGTGGGACGTGTTTGGACAAATGTTTGTTGCCTACAGGTACACACACGCAGATGGCTCAGGGCAAAAGTTTGGGGAGAGGGATAAGTTGAAATCTTACCAGCTGGAAACAATGTTCTGGATCTGATGGCACCACCTTTATCTCCCTACCTCTCTAAATCGCAAAAATAAACTTGCCGGGTGTCAGGGAATACCTCTAACGTGTGTGTTCCGGAACCTCACAGAGAAATGACCGGAAAGCGGGAAACTTCTCCCAATGTACAGTTATCTGCCATGACGTTCTGAAAACCAGGAGACAGAAATGGAGGAGCGGCTTGCCACGCCAAAATTAACCCAGACCAACGTGATTGCCTATGCACGCCAAGAATGAACGCTGATCGCTTCAAACAGTCCTAACAGTCCTGTGCCCCTTAAAGTGGAAGTAAATATCCACGAAATAACCCACTTTCTTGTCCTCATGAAATAACTTTCCAGTCCAGTAACTTTCTAGTCCTCGTGTGAAATTACAACGAAATCCACGATATTTAGGGTCCAGTGCCTACAACGATAAAATTAAAGATGATAATGATAATAATAATAATAATAATTTCAAGATACGGCTGTGAATTGAAAATTCTGGAAGGGGTTCCGAATCACACCTGGCCGAATACCCACAGCCCTTCGAGTGGCGCCCACGAATCCACTTCTTGTTACGGTTTCCCACGTGCATAAATCGCACCCTTCCGCAGCCACGCGAGCTGACAACGCGAACACGCTTTGGGATGAAACAGAGGAAGCTTCCCAAACTTGAAGGGGAGGTTTTAACAACATAAAATTAAATCCTTACTTTTAAAAAAATGTTTCCAATCTCGTTTGTGTGTCAAATTAACTGAACCTTCATGTTAGAAGTGCGGATAAGGCAGGCTCTTCTCTCCCCCCCCCCATTGTTATTTAGAAGGAGAAAGACGCTGGGGAAGGGGGGCTGCGAGTAGGGTAATTTTCATTCTTGTAATATTGGTTTGGGGATAATTACTTTTAATGTCAAAAAGATTTAGTTTAATATCATCTCTATTAGGCTGCTGGGCGGATAATTAAAAGTGAAGCTGATAGCAGGAGGGAAAACAGATGGGATTTGCTTACTTTGATTCAGTAGGTAAATAATGAAAAAGTCAGTGGCAAAACCCTCTCGAACAATTGAAACCTTAAAGATCACTAACATTATTGGAACCACTTGCAAAGTGCCGCCTTCTCGATGAGGTGGATAAATATATGGCAAACGAGAACTATATTTCTCTGGAAAGCTCCCCTCCCCTTCTCTCTTTCCTCCCCTCCCCCCCACACACTCCGCCGGCTTAGCTGGAGAGGTGTCCCCTTCCCCGCCCCCACTATTAGACGATGGAAATAATCTTTTAATTACGATTTTGTTCTCGGAAATAGGAGTGCGATTTCATGATGGGAAAAGCTGGGGGGGGGGGAAAACACACCACCTACTTGACCACTTCTGAAGTCATTTGCATGTATCTGATGGAGACCAATTTTTATTTTTATTTTTATTTCAAAAGACGAGGGTGGCCAGTGTTTGTTTCTTAAATCTGCTTTAATAAATCTTGTTCATATTTAAGGAATGAGAAATCGCTGGAGTCTGATGGCGATCCTGGCACAGGCAGCAATACGCATCCTAATAAAGACAATCGGATAATAAAGAGAAAGCGGGAGGATCTAGTAATCTATTAACGACTGTGCTTAGTTTCGTCACATGGGCGTAAACAGGACTGAACTTCAAAATGAATTTCTTTGCAACAGGAGCGCAAGGGCCCCCGAGTACGAAAGAAATACTGTAATGGAGGAACTCCAATACATCTGCTTAATAGAAATAACAATTATCCGCCGTCGTTATTTCTTATATCATTACACATTTCTGAAGTATTTTAGAAGCTTGATCATGATGCGGTCTGATCCAAAGGCTTTTTGGACGATGGGCAGAAAATCGCCAGTCTTAATGCTGATACCAGATAATAACCGCGCTGATTAACAATCATAACGCTATCAATACCGCCATAATAAAAATAGCGTATGTACGCAACCTGGCGGCTTAGCACAATTCTTTCAGACCCAACAAGGCGAGTTACGACCTATTTCTTCGCCCTGCTCACTCCGGGGCGTTTAATAAGGATTTTGGCATGTAGAACGATCCCGATGCATTGTCGACGGGGTCCCTCCGGTAGATTCCCCCCCTCGGGCCCTTTCCCCCGGGGCCCAAGCCTCCGCCCTTCTCCCTCCACCGCTCGCCCGCCGGACCTCGTGCGCCTGCCGGCCGGCCTGCGGAGGCTGCCGCTGTAAGGCTGGCTGGGCCAGGGGCGCTTTCCGCGCTCCTCGTCAAGTTCAATTAGCTCCGGATCCTTCCGGACAGCTCCAAGGGACCTGCGCCCTGTCGCCCCGCGGGCCGCTGAGAGCCTGGCACACCACGCGCGAGTGGGGAGGGAAGGCAAGCCGGCGATGGGGTCGCCTCTGCCCGCCCCGCGCTGGCCCCATTCGCCGCTCCTCGTCCCGGGGACTGCGGCTGCTTCGGCTTGCGGGTCGGCCCGTTGATGAACAGGGAGTAAAGGCAAGCCAGGTCCCGAAGCGAGCAAAGGAGGGGAGCCCCAACTAGAACGATGGCAGGGGTGGCGGAGAGATAAATGAAATAGTGTGTGTGTGTGTGTGTGGAAACCAGCCACCCCAGGAATTGCCTTCAGTCATGTGCCCCCTCCCTCTCTCCCCCGCACCGGCTGCTGTCGGAGATCTCCACCGCTTTGTGGATCTGGAGACCGCGGTTGGCGGGGATCTGCCTTCGCTTTGAGGACCGGGTCTCTGCCGATTGGACCCGGAAACCCGCGACCCTCCAGGTCGCTTGTGGGGCGGTCTTCGGCCTCCCTTGAGGCAATTATTTCTCACAAGACCCGGCAAAGTAAAAACGTTACCTTTAAAAAAATGAATAAAACAAATTTATCTGTTTCGTGATCCAAACTTGTTTCCCTCACCCCCTCTCCCGCCCCCATATTCTCACCACCTACTTTTTCTAGGCTAGCTCTGCACACCGTTCGGCCGCTTTGGCAGGGACTTGGTGCCCACTGAGAGTGGCGCCCAGAGTTTCGGTTTCGTTAGGAAGACCTGACTCATCTGCCTAAAAAAGTGAAGAGCAACTGCGTGCGGGGGTGTCGGCCGGTGTGGAGAAAGGAGGCGCGCCGCGCGTTTCTTTAACCTTCGGGGAGTTCCCTAAGGCGCCGCTGCTGTCCGGGGGGGGGGGCTCGGCGAGGACTCCGCTCGCCCCGTGTTTCTCCCATCCTCGTCTAGAGGCTTTTGAGGGGCGGCGGAGGGGGATACCTTTCCCGCCAAGCAGTCAGAGTGGCGGAGCTCGGCAACACCGGCCGATGCGCTGCGACGGATCCTAAAGCGCATGTTGGCTCTGGTTTACCGGCCGAGAGGAGCGGGAGCAAACTCTGGCGCGCTGGAGGCACTGGTGCGCCTCAGGGAGAGTCAGCCTCAGGTGCCCCGAGAACCAGCCCGGGTTTCCTTGGGGGGGGGGAGATGCGAATCGCTCGCTTGTCAGGGTCTCTCCCCGAACCTGGGGCGTCGGTGGAAGGGAAGGAGGAGCCTCGCTTTGTCGACTTTTGGGTTCCCTTAAGGAAAAAAAATTGAACAAGGAAAACAAAACAAAACAAACCACCGAGACGCCCTCCCGCACCCCTCTCCCAAGGCAACTATCCCATAAGCAGCGGTTGTGTCACAGCTGGAAACTCCCCGTCCGAGACTCAACACATCCAGGGAGGGGGAAGGCAGCTGATGGGAGGGGAGGAGTTTTATGTTCTTACATTGACCACCAACGAAATGTAGGTCCTTAAGGTCAGGATTCTCTCGTTTCCCGCTGGACCCACTTAAGGAGACTTCCCCGGTCCTTGGCGCACTCTGCCCGCGTCTAAGAAGGCGCTAAAACGTGAAAGAGAGTATTAATAGCACCCCGCAAATAAACCAAGTCCTCTGACAAGCGCCCTCCCGCTATTTTGGGGTTCCATCCAAACTCCGGCTGGTAGCTCATCCCCGCCTGCCACCCCCCCCCCCGCACCACACTCATTTGAAAGCCATCTGATTTCATTGAGTTGTGGGAAAACCTTTTTCTAAGAACCACTTCGTCTTCTCAGTGATGAAGAATAAATGTTAGTAAACTTACCCAAAATTAAGAGGGTTCTCATCCAGGGCAACGATCTTTCCTTCTTTCTTAACCCTCCCTGCCAAAAATGTGAGAAATATGAAAAGAGGACTGTTTTGCTCAGGAGATGCTGTGTTAGCTAGAAAGGAAATAGAAACATTTAATCCTTCCAGAATTCTATTTTTCTAGAGAAGCCCCATGTGTTTTCTGACTCTTTTGGTTCAATGAGAACAAAACAGAATGTAGGAAAGTTAATTCAATTTCTAATATGACCTGTGTGTATTTATACGGGGAATTTAAGATTATGGATAAATGTGATGGGGGGGTGTACACACGTGGAAGGGTGGGAGACAGGTTGGCCAGCAGATTAAGCCCTTTACCTATTTAAAGACAGGTAAATCTTAAACCCTTCCGTTTCGGGAGAAAGTTGGATTTACCTGGCTATCTGAAAAAGGATTATTTGAAATCAGTTTAGACTTAAGTACGTGAGACTCAGTTCCAGCCAAGGGCCGTTCGAATTGGCTTGCCATAATATAAAGGCATTTCCACACGTGAGGAAGGCTTCCACTATGTACAAAAACGGTTTTGTTATTAATTTAGGAGATACAAGCAAAATTTCATATTTTTATATATCTAGTTTCTATTATAGAATGGTATTTCATTCAATTGTATAAAGAACAAGTCACACATTTTATGCTGCTCATAGATAACACTTATTGTTTTAATGTATGACCCATACAAGTTTTCAGCTTTTTACATTGCAGGCAACTTGTACGTCGCTCTTTAACTACACAACGGTCTAGGGAACCTCCGCAATGTTTTATCTTCTATTGATATTTTACTTTGTATCATTGTTAGCCGTAAACGACAAGATGTGCCTTCCGATTCCCAGCTGCGGCCTTCTTTTTCCCCTCCCAGCTACTTACTTTGAAAAATTAATACAGCACTTTTTCTCTCGAACGCACGACGAGACAGCATCTGAAGCCGCCACGAAATATCGGAAAGCCCTTACAATCGTTCGACGTGCCTTTCAGGCCCGTGCCTGTTTGCAAGTCTTACTAATTTCGGCAAAGCCTCTCCAAGTTTGTTCCAGCCTTCTTTCTGATCAATTGCAGACCGGCGGTCGGTTCGTGATCAGGGCTCGAGCGAGAAGACGGTTTGCAGGCTCTTGGGTTTTCCCCGCTCAGTCCCCCGAAATTTTTGACTCCTGCAAAACCATAACCGTCGCTTTTCAAAAAGCAGCAAACCTTATTGTTGGCTTAGAGGTTAACGGACGCCTTTCGTTTACAAGGAAAGGGGAGGGGATCCCAGGAAAAAAAAGAGTATCAAACTCCCCCCGCCCCGCTTTCTGGAGGTGCAGGCAGGCAGGGGACTCGTGGCGAGTAAATTCCAGGAAAAGGAGACCTGGGGGGGGGAGAGAAAACACCTCCTCCTCCTCTTTCTCCCCCCTTTGGCGAAAACACCACAGAGACCTAAACGGTTCTTGTGACAACCCCCGCCCGCCATCTCTCGCCGGAATCTGCTCCAGAGGATTCTTCACGGGACCCAAATGCTACCAACTCTCCGTTCCCGGGTGGAAAGCGCTCCTTTCTCCTTCGGAGTGGAGAGGGGTGATACCACCGAGACCTAACGAGCCCTCCTTTCTGGGGGGGGGCGTCATTGAAATCATACGGAGGCTATTCAGTGGGCCTTAACGGGCAGGAGTTTGCCTTCCTACAAACCATCTCGAGCAAGTGAGAAGTTTTGAACCCCTTCTTCCTAGATTTGCCAGGCCATCTTCTCCAGAAAGTCAAAAAACAAACACCTCGACGTTGTGAATTTGTTTCACGACCCTCAAGCGTAGAGAAGAAACATTTTCTCGGAATTAAAGATGCAAGTCTATCGAACAGTTCACGTTGGCAACAACAACAATAGTTCTACAGTGAAGGGAATGCAGATTATCCATCCACCCAAAGTTACATGCAAATATTGCAAAATTAGACACTAACAGGCATACGCAGAGGTTTTATACTTAGCCGGGGTTTTTTTCTTTTTTGGAGAGCCGCTTATTGGACCAAAAACAAACAATCAATAACGCCCCAAACAAGCAAACAAACAAGAAACCACCACAGCGCCTCAACGGAACACTGTTGCCCTTAACATTTCCACTGCCTCCCCTTCGGGTGACGGGCAAAGTTGTCGGCCCGGCTCTCTCCGAAGGCATTGACTTCGAAGGAAACCGACGTCCAGGCGAGCGTGTTTCGCTCATTCTTTGCCTCTTGCTAACAAGCAAGTCCCAGGGAGTGTGACGTCACTCAGAGTAGGTTCGGCAAATAATAACAAAATAATATCAAGCACGCGAATGAATCTAGTTATAACAACCGTAATTGTTCACGGATCGATTCCCTGTTATAATTGTCCCGAAGGAAAGACAGAAATATCCTTGATTGATTTTTAGTTAAACAAACAACTAATAATTGAATCCGAGGGAAGGAAGAAGAGACTCGGAGACCTGTAAAGTAAGTTAGTAGGGCCGAATCAATTCCCTGTTTTGTTTCCGACGTATATAACACAAAATCGTACCTCGTGTGTCACCTTTTTCATGGCAGCCTCTGGGACTGGGAGCGGACACCTGCGGAAGTGGAAGACGTAACGGAAAATGAACGTTATTTTGTGCTGTACTTAAAAAAAAAACATAAGGTCCTTAGAAAAACCATCAGTGTCACTGTCACCTTTCCGTACGTCCTCCCCCCTCCCCACCTTTGACAAGTGACACCCCGAGATAATGGGAAGTGCAAAGCACACGATGAAGTGGCAAAGCAAGCGCCACTGTTAAACGAACCACCAGACGAGGTATCGGAGAAAGTTGAGAGAGAGAGAGAGGAAAAAAATAGAAACTATTTGCCTGGCTTTTCCCCCCCAGTACACCCCCCCTCGGACCCTTCTAGCCCCCCCTTTCTTAAAACAGTTTATTTGAAAGAAGCTTCGGGTGGACACTGTAGACATCCGAATGGCCAATCAGAGGGGCTCTTTCCTCCCCTGGCCAATAGCAGGCGTCACATTGTTGTCAAATGTTGTCTAATGGAAACGTAAGGAGCAACAATAGAGCAAGCGCTCGCGGGCGGTTAGGCGAAGATTTCTATCTCTTGGCAACTCTCGCCCTCTTTAGTGTCGCACATGCAAAGTTGGGGCTGAGGGAAGCGGGGGGGAGCGGACTGGAGGCTGCCGCCTGCAGCACAGGGGCGCTGGGGCCGACTGGTCGGTGGGATTGGGTTGCGAGGAAGGAACCGAGAGAGACACACAGAGAGATAGAGACAGACAGAGAGACAGACAGATGGAGAGGCAGAGATGACCGAGGGAGGCTGAGAGGCGCTGGCGGGTGCGAGTCGGGAAGCCACTCCGGCGTCCGACTGACAGCGGCGGGGATTCCCAGGGTGAATTAGCAACCGAGGCGGCTGGTTCAGGCAGTGGGGCTGTTCAGCGGGAGGAAGCCTTGCGATCTCCTTGGATAGCACCCTGGCGTTGTTATGCCTCCCGGGGCTTGTGTACGCTTCCGACGGGACGGTGTTTTGTAACATTGGCAAGCGCTCGGGCGCAGCTGGCTCCTGCGCTCCGCTGCGGCTCCTTGCACGGGCTGCGGGTTGCTGTGGTTCTCTCCCACTTGTGTGTCCGCCGCTTCCGCGTAGATAAGGCATCTACCGGAGAAGTCCGAGGAACAGGGTCGTGCTTGTGGCCACAGAGGCCGAGCAGGGACAGAATGGCTCCGGCGTCGTTGCCAGGGTTCAAGGACTGCAAAGCTTTAGTCGGTTCTTAGGTCGCAGGGAGCTGAATCCCCGGGCATCGACGTTTGTGCTGCTGCGGGGAAGAGGAAAGAGAAGGGGGAAGCGTCTGTTTGGACACAACTTTTCGTTTACCTGTTGCAAAAGTAGTCCTGGTTAACGCTCAGCTAGAATAGGTTAACAAGGCAGTCTACTCGGCCAAGTCGGAGACGGTTGCAGAAAGGAAGACTGTTGCGCCAAGTTCATTTATTTTTTATTTTATTTTTTTGAGAAAACTTCCTAGAGCGGTGCAAATTGGACGGGGAAGTTACCGTCCGGGTGCTGAGGTTAACGGCTGGAGGAAGCGATCGAAGATCGGGGGCAGGTAGGGCTTGGAAGGCCCCGGGTGTTCAAATAGTAAGTTTCTTGGG